TTTTATTCCAAATAAAGTGAGAATCCACTGGAGAGAATCTACTGAGCAGAGGGGTGACATGATGAGACTTGTGTTTTAAGATGACCACCTGTCTTGGCTTGGTGGTGTGCCCTTGTAGTACCAGCTACCTGGGAGGCTGAGATGGGAGGATCTCTTGAGCCCAGGAGTTGGAGGCCACAGTGCCCAATGATCCCCAGGCCAATGGATTTGAGTATAATTGCAGGAAGGAGTGCAGTTGCTGGGATTTCTAGCAATCTATAAACAAAATAGTGCTCTGGTACTCCGTACTTCTCAGTGAAACTGCCCGAGCTCTGCCCTCCATGCCCGTCTGTATTCAGAGACTCACCTGAACTTCTGAATCATTCCCCTGCTGCTCACCCTGCCAGCCTCTGGCCTGGCTGTAGCCACCGTTCCCACCATCACCTGTATCTGGAAACTCTAATTTCTTGCCCATGACACTATGACGGTCACCCTGTGGAAGTGAGGAGGCTTGCCCAGCCTCCAGGCATCCAACAGGGCTGCCTCCTACTCTCTGGTTCTCTTATATTTCTGACTGTTTATTAGAAAGGCTTCTTTCATGCCCAGAGCCTCTGCTGGAAGGCAGTTCGAATCCCACTGGCTGAGCTGCAGCCGGAGTCAGCCCTGTCCCCGCCAGGCATCTGCCCACGTCAAGCTCTTTTCCTTGCAGGCTTTGCCCCTTCTTCGTCTGGAACACTGTTCCCTATTGCAATTTTCATGAGCAAAGTGGATTTATGGAGTCGCTGGTCTATATCAGGGGTCAACACACTATGCACTTAAAGTTTTATTGGAACACAGCCACGCACTCATTTTGCCTATGGCTGCTTTCATGGTACAACAGCGGCGAAGAGTAGTTGCTACAGAGACCATATGGCCTGCCAAGCTGAAAATATTTACTATCTAGCTTTTTGCAGAGAGTGTGCCAATCTCTGACGGAGTTAGATTGGATAACTCTCACAAAGTGGATTTGAGGATGAAAAAGACTACTGTACGGTGGCTCAAGCCTGTAATCCCAGCACTTTGGGAGGCTGAGGCGGGTGCATCACGAGGTTGAGAGATCGAGACCATCCTGGTCAACATGGTGAAACCCCGTCTCTACTAAAAAAAAATACAGAAAACTAGCTGGGCGTGGTGGCGCGTGCCTGTAATCCCAGCTACTTAGGAGGCTGAGGCAGGAGAATTGCCTGAGCCCAGGAGGCGGAGGTTGCGGTGAGCCGAGATCGCGCCATTGCACTCCAGCCTGGGTAACAAGAGCGAAACTCCGTCTCAAAAAAAAAATAAAATAAAATAAATAAATAAATAAATAAGAATAAAAAATAAAATAAAATAAAAAAAAGACTACTGTAGAAATAAGTAAGTAAATAAATAAATCCACGGTGGACTGACAATAATATTAACATCACAATAAAAAAGGACAACAAGAAAATAGTAGGACCAATATTCTCGCACCCATAGTACAAGCTGTTTGTCACATAAAACAATTATCCTCCCAGGCGTGGTGGCGCATGCCTGTAGTCCCAGCTACTCGGGAGGCTGAGGTGGGAGGATCCTTGAGACCGGGAGTTCTGGGCTGTAGTGTGCTGTGCCGATCAGGTGTCCACACTAAGTTTGGCATCAATATGGTGACTTCCTGGAAGCGGGGGACCACCAGGTTGCCTAAGGAGGAATGAACCAGCCCAGGTCGGAAACGGAGCAGGTCAAAACTCCCATGCTGATCAGTAGTGGGATCGCACCTGTGAATAGCCACTGCACTCCAGCCTGGGCAACATAGCAAGACCCCATCTCTAAACAAACAAACAAACAAAAAACCAATTATCCTCAAAACAGGTCTATCAAGAAGTTAGGAGAGAGACTGGGTGAGTGAGAGAGAGAGAGAGATGGAAGGGGGAGAGGAAGAGGAGAGGAAAAATAAATAAATAAAATAAATAAATAGTGGCATTGAGCAACAGATGACAGGCTTAACATGTCATTTTCCTCTTTAATAATATTTATCTAGCAATTTTATGTTTAAGCACTGTTTTTAGGGTTTCACATGCATTAACTGATTTAGTCCTCAAAACAACCCCAAAGGTAGGCACACTTATAATTGCCTGCGTTTTATACATGAAGAAACTGAGGTCGAATAATCTACCCAAGGCTACACAGCTAGTAAGTGGTGGGGCTGGACTTGAATCCAAGCGGTTCGACTCCAGGGTCTGTAGTCTACATTATATCACTTTTCTTGATTAACAAAACAAAGACAGAAGTGAACCCCAGAATATCTGAAGAGTGGTGCCATGGACAGCCCTTTGGGCATGATTTTGCGTCTTAACTACCAACGCTTATCCCAAACTCTGGTGTAAGGTGAAGGAATTAATGTAGTTCTCTTTTAAAAAAACTTTGAGGTTTTTTTTTTTTTTTTAATTTCAAGACACATACCCAGGATAAAGCCAGCAAACTTAGAAAGTAGCAGTGAACTAGGTCCTCAGGCACAGAGTCCCACTGAGGTATCTCCTGCCATTGCAGTGAGCTGTGAAGTACTGATTAGCAGGTGTCATGGCTCTGAGCTCCTAGGACAGCACTCCTCTGTGAAGAGCCCAGGCTCCTGGAAAGGTTGAGGGTCTCTGGCATGGCTCTCGGTGGAGACTTGGCATCCTTTACCTACCCTCCTGTGGGGCAGATGGACGTCCCACCCGCCCTTGGCTGAATGGAAGCGCATTCCCAAGCCACCCAAAGGCACATGTGACCTTGATTTCCTCTGAGCTTCTTCACCAGCTGCATGGTGTTGTATAAGGAGCACTGTATTGAGAGTCAGGGCAATGGATTCTGTCCTTGTGAAGGCTTCTGACCTCTCTACTCCTCAGTTTCTTCATCTGTAACACGATAAACTCAGCTAGATGGTCCTCGAAGAGCTCTTTACAGGTTAGAAATGTTCTGATCCTGTATTTAATGAAATGGAGCAAATATTCACACTATATTCATTTGTGGGTAAAAAAGTCCTTTGCAAAACATGCTTGACTCTTGTAATCTTTGTTTTAAAAAACACACGTAGCAGAACGAAGATATTTGTCCTTCCCATCCCTGCTCTGCTGCTTGACAGAGGATCTTTTAGCCATAAAATTCACTAGGATTCTTTGTCAGACAGGTCTCTATTCTAAGGAATGGGAGCATTCCCATCATCCTCCTGGAATGGAGTCAGGTATACCCCCCAGGAGACTAGACTCCAATGGGCAAAGGTTCTCAGCAGCTTCAACCTAAAAGAGGTCCTTGAGGGGAGAAGGGAGCCTGAAGGGAGGGGAGAGGGACAGTAAGGGAATGGACACCATTCAAGGTAAACTCTGTGTCAGCTACACTTCAACCCTGTGAGTGTTGTAAGGAATCAAAGACATATAAGGTAAAGATCCTCTACCTGCAAGGAAGTCACCACCCACCTGGCAGCAAAAGCCATATTGATGGAAGACAATGAGAAGGAAGAGATGCATCGTTAGTGCTGTGTGAGCACAATGGACTGGGGCGGGTGGCCTGGTCCTGTCTCTGGCCGATCACTGCTGGAGGAAAGCCGCTCTGCATCCCTGGGCCTCGGTTTCCTTGTGTGGAAATGAGGCCTTAAACTCCATTTCAAAAGTACCTTCTGGCTCTGAGATTCTGGGGTGGATGGTTTGTTGAAGGAGGCCTGAGCGTAGGCACCCGGAATTGTGTCATTTGATGAGTCAGACGAGGGGTATCAGGAAAATAATGTCTTCACCATCAACACAAGGGGATAGGCAATTAAGAAACACTTTGCTGATGGCTTGAGTGTCTGTTCCACTCAGAGGATACATTCCCGAAGAGGGATGGGGTGACTCATCAGGAGGCTGAAACCTGATGAAACAGAGCTATCCAATTGCCTCGCTCCGATTCCAGGGAACCAAATTTTCTTCATATGGTTTTCCAAAGCAGTTTCCCCAGGAAGAGGAGGCACAGACATGAGCTTCCAGACTAAGTAGCAATTGAAAATGGACACTTTTCTATAGGAGTAAAATTATATCACACATGAGAAATAACTGTGACATTTCATATGAAGTAGCATTCAAATGCAAAGAGTATCATCATTAATCATATCACCACTGGTTATGATTATTCTCATGCTGATCTGGTCAGCCTTTAAACCTGTTTTTAATTTTTTTTTTTTGAACTGGTAAACCCTGGGTAAGTTGGTAAATATAGAAATTCTGGATCTGCAAAGCTGATAAAAGATGAAAATTACTGACGTGTGGAAAATGCTTTCACATAGAGTTGTCTCAGTATCTCTAGAGAGAGAAAATATTATTTTCCCCAGTCTGTAGTTCTGGAAGGCTCAGAGAGGTTAGGTGACTTATCCAGAATAATAGAGCTAGTCAGGGTTTGGGCTGGCAGTCAAACCCAGGTGGTCAAGTTCAAATTCAACTCACAGTACTGCTGCTTCCTAAGCGAGTGAATATCCACTCATCCAGCACACCCCCTCACACATGTACTCATAAACATTTTCTATGTAAGATCCGTGCCCAGTGAGACAGCTGCAGGAGGGATCAGAAGCTGAGGCAAAGAAAAAAATCCAAATGCCAGTATATTCTGGAGATCATAGAACGGTGTCTCCTTCCCTCTTCAATGCTGCTAAAAGCTCAGAGAGCCTTTCTAGATGGCGGTTCCATGGCGCAATCTGTTGAGCTTCCCTTAGTCCCTGGACTCAGGCTGAATCTGCTCGTGGTGGGTGTAGAAAGCTCCCATTCTACTTAGATGGAGTCTCTGGTGTGTCAGGCATACCTCTGCTGCCTGCATCTACCTCCTCTTCTGTCTGGTTGTTTCTGGTGCAGGTGGCTAGGGACCCTCAACTGAGATGCCGCCCCCCTCCGCCCCGGAACAGCACTGATGGACCTAACACACCCTGGGTTCCCGGGCGTGTCAGCCACTGGAGCTGCCAGTCTCAAATTACCGGAGGGGAGGGAGGCCAGGCCAGGCCTGGATCTCAGGATCTGGGTCCTGCGTGCAATGCAAGCCTGAGCTCTCCAGCTGTCACCATAAGACTGCGGCAGTGTGGGCTCCTTGTGCTCATCCTTTGCATTCATAGGGGGAAGCGGAAGACCACACTACCTGGCTGAGACTTTATTATAGAGGAGAAAGAGAAACATGAACTGGTCCCATTCCTGCATCTCCTTTTGCTGGATTTACTTTGCTGCTTTCCGACTGAGAGGTGAGAGGCTGGTGACATGTAACGGTCTTGTCTCAGCTGGGGCTATTGCTTTGCGGGGAGGTGGGGCAGGGCAGGGAAGACAGATGATTCAACTGCATGGAAGTGTTCAGTGCTTCCTACTGACTCTGATCTTGGTAGGGCACGCCAGAAAAACAACTCATCCATCCACCCAAAGCTTGTCCCTCACCAGCCCTGGGCCAGCCCCCATTTAAGACCTCAGTCTCGCGTTCTTTGTCTTGAAATACACACAACACTCTGAATGTTGATCCAGATCCCTCTTGTTGAGCAGCTGTAGAGACAGCAGATGGAAAATATGCTCAGAAGTTGTTTAATGACCTTTTTGAAGATTATTCCAATGCTCTGCGTCCAGTGGAAGATACAGATAAAGTCCTGAATGTCACGCTGCAGATTACACTCTCTCAGATCAAGGATATGGTGAGTAACATATGGTGCTGACTCTTTGGAGTGATTCTTAGAGGATAAACAACCATGCTTTCTGAAGAGAATGTCTTAACGGGGAATTTGAGAGGGAATGACAGCTCCGTATGCAAACTGGTGGGAGAGGAGAATGCCAGGAAAAGGAAGCTTTCTACAAAAGTAGTTATTTTCATGAAGTGTTACCTAATCCTGGACGTTAACTGTAACAGCCTTATATTGTAAAGAAAAGTGGGGTTACATGCTATATGCTGTCATTTATATGAAATGTCCAAAATGGATAAATCTGTAGAGACAGAAAACAGCGTAGAAGTCACTAGGGTCTGCAGGGAGGAAGGGGAAAATGGCCAGTAAGTTTTTTAATGATGATGGGGTTTCTTTGCGGAGGAGGAAATGATCTTGAATTAGGCAGTGGTGATGGTTGCATAACATTGTGAGTATATTGGAAGCCTTCTAAAATGTCCCCTTCTAAAATGATTAAAATGGGAGTTGTCATGTGAATTTAATCTCAATTTTTAAAAAAAGATAGTTTGTTTTTTTTTTTGTTTGTTTTGAGACAGAGTTTCGCTCTTGTTACCCAGGCTGGAGTGCAATGGCGCGATCTCAGCTCATCGCAACCTCCGCCTCCTGGGTTCAGGCAATTCTCCTGCCTCAGCCGCCCGAGTAGCTGGGATTACAGGCACACGCCACCATGCCCAGCTAATTTTTTGTATTTTTAATAGAGATGGGGTTTCACCATGTTGACCAGGATGGTCTCGATCTCTTGACCTTGTGATCTGCCCGCCTCGGCCTCCCAAAGTGCTGGGATTACAGGCTTGAGCCACCACGCCTGGCAAAAACGTAGTGTTTTTAAGATGGCATAGTTTATTAGTGCTTCTATATGTTTAATTACACAATGTTACAAAACTTGAAAGATTTTTTTCTGCACATTGTTATTCCCCGACTTTTGCTTTCAAGTATGCCACTCATTGATTAATTTTCAGGAAATATGGGCAGTTGATCCATGCAAAGATATGAAGACTTAAATATTTGTCCACTTCACATTCTGAACACTAAGTCTAAGAGGAAAAAAAAAATATGACCTTGGCAGTCAATCAAGGGGATAGAATAATAAAGCTCTCACTTACTGAAAATAGACAAGTGTTTGTGAAACTCCTATTGTGAAGAACAAGTGTCCTGTCAATGGAAGACATTAAAAGTGTCTGCTAGGTAAAGTTACATCTGGATTCATTGCGTAGGATGAAAGAAACCAAATTCTGACCGCCTATTTGTGGATCCGCCAAATCTGGCATGATGCCTATCTCACCTGGGACCGAGATCAGTACGATGGCCTAGACTCCATCAGGATCCCCAGTGACCTCGTGTGGAGGCCGGACATCGTCTTATATAACAAGTAAGTGCAGCTCAGAACGGATGCTTTTCAGACGTGAACTTGTTGATTTCATAGAATTTAAACATAATGAGGGCGGCGCGGTGGCTCATGCCTCTAATGCCAACACTTTGGAAGGCCAAGGCGGGAGGATCATGAGGTCAGGAATTCAAGACCAGCCTAGCCAAGATAGTGAAACTCTATCTCTACTAAAGATACAAAAATTAGCCTGGTATGGTGGCAGGTGCCTATAATCCCAGCTATTCGGCAGACTGAGTCAGGAGAATTGCTTGAACCTGGGAGGCAGAGGTTGAAGTGAGCTGAGATCGTGCCACCGCACTCCAGCCTGGGCGACAGAGCAAGACTCCATCTCAAACAAACAAACAAACAAACATGATGAAAAAGGAATGTTTAAAACATGCATGAAATTAAATATTAATCCATGTTCCTAGGACTCCTGAAATAACGGTCATAGAAACTTAGATCAGGAAATAATATGCCATAAAGGCTTAGAGCTGGAAGGAAACCATCAATCTACATTCCCCCTTTTCAGGTGAGAAAGTGGAGGCAGCATTAGTTTGCTAGGGCTAGCTTTGCCATAGCAGAGTAGCACAAACTAGGTGACTTAACAGAAACGCGCTGTCTCCCAGTTCTGGAGATAAGAAGTCTGCGATGCAGGTGTTGACAGCGTGGTTTCCTCTGAGGGTTGTGACGGAGGATCTGTTCCAGGCCTCTCTTCTAGCTAATGGTGGTTTGCTGGCAGTCTTTGGTGTTCCTAGATTTGTGGAAGCATCACTTTGAGCTCTGCCTTCATCCTCACATGTCATTCTCCTGTGTGTTCCCTGTGTCCAAATTCCCAATAGGATTAGGTGCCCACCCTACTCCAGCATGACTTCATCTTAACCTAACTAATGACATCTTCCAGGAATCTTTTCTCAAATCAAGTCCCATCCTGAGTGCTGGGGGCTAAGACTTCAATTTGTGAATATTTCAGGAACACCAGTCAACCCAAAACAGTGACACTCACCATCCAAGATCACGTATCAATAATTAATTAAATTGGAATGGGCCATCTAGGAACTGACCTGTGGATTTGGGGCTCTGTGTGGAGTGGAGGATGAACCAGTTTGGAGGATGCAAAATGACTTTTTCCTGGTCTCAGAGCAAGGGGCCTTGTATAATGGATAGGTAAGGTTTATGTGTCGCAAGCTATAAGGTTCATATGAATCGCTCAGGGAGCTTGTTAAAATGCAGATTCTGATTCCATAGGTGTGGGGCAGGCCTGTGATTCTGCATTTCTACAAGCTCCAGAAGATGTGGGCACTGTGGGTCCATGGGCTGCAGTTTGAGAAAACAAAACAAACAAACAAACAAAAAAAAAAACAGATCTCTGCTGGGTGCGGTGGCTCACATCTATAATCCCAGCACTTTGGGAAGCCGAGGCAAGCAGATCACCTGAGGTCAGGAGTTCAAGACCAGCCTGACCAACGTGGCGAAACCCTGTCTCTACTATAAATACAAAAATTAGCTGGTTGTGGTGTTGTGCGCTGTAATCCCAGCTACTTGGGAGGCTGAGGCAGGAGAGTTACCTGAACCTGGGAGGTGGAGGTTGCGGTGAGCCGAGATTGCACAATTGCACTGGGTAACAGAGCAAGACTCTATCTCAATAAAACAAAACCAAACCAAATAAACAAAAAACAGATCTCTGGTCACAGTTTGAGCTCAGTGGCTCCACCTATTGTCAAAGGAGCGTCTCTCTTTTTATTCTGGAATCCAAGTTTCCGTGGAGTGGCAAAGGTTCCTCTGAGGCTCAGAACTATGTGAGTGAGGGGCACCTCAGGGAACTCCCCTGGGAAGAGGCTTCCAGCGGGCATGGATTTCCTTAAGGAAGTAACACAGGTGGGTCGCGGCCTGGATTTTAGTCTCAGTCTCACTCCTTACTCAGAGAGCTCATCTAAGGCTCATGACCTCTGGAATCACAGCCCTGTTTCTGTCTGTTCCCTACTCTGAGGGGCCAGAGGAATCATTTGTATCCCTTCCCAAGGGAAATAACATTCTAGTATGGGGCTTTATTCCTCCAGTTTACCCTCTCTCCCTGTGTTCTCTCTCTCTCTCTCTCTCTCTCTCTCTCTCTCTCTCTCTCACACACACACACACACACATACACACACACACATAGAGCACAAAAATAAGTCACATCGTCCATTACCACTCTCTTGTCCGCAGAGTGCAGAAGAGTAATATTTGATAATTTCATTGACACAGACCAGCCATGGGGGCTCATGCCTGTAATCCCAGAACTTTGGGATGCCAAGGCAGATGGATCACCTGAGGTCAGCTTCAATTGGTTGTGGGCCAAGTCTTCATTTACATAGTGTGTAACCAATGGGAAACCAAAGGGTACTGGAACCCCAGAAGATTTTGTAACCCGTGCTCTTGGACTGCTCACTGGCACCCACACTCGCTCCGTGGAGTGTAGTTTCACTTAAATAAATCTGAGCATTTATTGCTTCTTTCATTGTGCTGTACTTTCATGGCTTTATTCGTGCATTTTGTCCAATTCTTTGTTCAGATTGCCAAGAACGTGGACAATTTGTAGTTGAGACCCTCCATGGGTAGCAAAGTGATCTTCTTACTTCAGTCTCTTGAGGAGCTGGGACTACAGGTGTGCATTCCCACACCTAGCTAATTAAAAAAAAATTTTTTATGGAGATGAGCTCTCACTATATTGCTTAGGCTGGTCTTGAATTCCTGGGCTCAAGCAATCCTTCTGCCTTGGCCTCCCAAAGTGCTGGGATTAAAGGCATGAGCCACCATGCCTGGCCCCAGTGGTTGGATTTTAATAAGCAGTTTTAATGGTTGGCTTTTAGACCTAGTGAGGAACTGGGTGCCCTATTGTATTCAAAAGAATTTGTCTAGAATTTAGCTTTAAGGCCAGCTTATGTAACTATCTTTAGCTATATAAGATGATTTAGAGAACGGCAAGACTTCCAGATGAGACTGGAAATAAAGGAGGGGGACGAGAAACAGTTTTGGAAGAAAAGGGGATGAATTTGATGTTCAGGTTGGGGAACTAAAGAAACATCCCCACGGAAATGTCCAATAATGAGATTGCAAAGGCAAATCTGAAACTTGGGGAAACGGGTCAGGGCTAATAGAGATGCCCAAAGTCCCTAAAGTCCTACAGAACTACTCATGGAGCTGGGCACGGGGCTCACGTCTGTAATCCCAGCACTTTGGGAAGCCGAGGCAGGCAGATCACGGGGTCAGGAGCTCGAGACCAGCCTGAGCAATGTGACGAAACCCCCATCTCTACTAAAAATAAAAAAATTAGCTAGGCATGGTGGCGGGTGCCTATCATCCCAGCTACTTGGGAAGCTGAGGCAGGAGAATCATTTGAACCCAGGAGGCAGAGGTTGCAATGAACTGAGATCATGTCATTGCACTCCAGCCTGGATGACAGGGTGAGAATCCATCTCAAAAAAGAAAAAAAAACAAAAAACAAACTACTCATGGAAGGAAAGAAAATGGCTGAGGATAAAATGGGAAAAAATCTCTATATTTAAGGAATTTACAGAGGAAACTTAGAATTCGTGGTTAAAGAGGTAGAAGGAGAACTGAGAGAGTCATGTAATAAAAACCAAGGGAAGAGAGGATGTCTAGGAGCAATCCATAATCCCAATGTTCGGGAAGAGTTGAAGAAGATGACGACTTAGGAGAAGTCTTGAGATTTGCCCTAGTTGTACTGGTCGGAAGGACGTCAAAATGCAGGAGTCAAGAAATAAAAGCAAGAGGAAACGGGACAACAGCAGGTATCAGTGACTTTTGAAAGCAGCGCATGGAAGGAGATGAGAGAGGAAGAAGTGCTGGGAAGAAAAGGAGTTTGGCAGGAGAGACTTGTGAACAGAGTGGAAAGTGACTAGAGGGGCCACGGGAGGCGAGATCCTGAAGCAGGCATGGGAGTGGGAGGACTCGCAGGACTGGAAGGGAAGTTGGCAGGGAAGAGAGAGGGGGCAACTTCTTTTTGATATGGGAAGGAAGGAAAAGTGAATATGTGAAAGACAGAGATATTGGAGATGGAAGGAGGAAGGAGTCCTGGGACTGAGTAAAAGACAAGTATACACTGAGGTTCCAGGCACTCTGGGGATTGCGGACAGTGGTCAACTCTCCCTGCTCCCTCCTTCATCAGCCTGCTCCTCCCCAGTTCCCAGGAGTGGGCTTCTTACAGCCAGTGCTGGGAAAGGCATTTCTGCTCAATTGTAAAACAGCTAAAGTTAGTTCAGTCTTTGATCAGATACAGAAGAGGAGAGGGGGCTGCCTGTGTTGGTCTGTTCTCTTGTTGCTAAGAAGACATACCCAAGACTGGGTAATTTAAAAAAGAAAAGAGGTTTAATGGACTCACAGTTCACATGGCTGGGAAGCCCTCACAATCATGGTTGAAGGTGAACGAGGAGCGAAGTCACGTCTTACACGGTGGCAGGCAAGAGAGCATGTGCAGGGGGACTCCCCTGTATAAAACCATCAGATCTCATGAGACTTATTCACTGTCACAAGAACAGCATGTCATTACCTCTCACCATGTCCCTCCCGCAACATATGGGAATTATGGGAGCTACACTTCAAGATGAGATTTGGGTGGGGACACAGCCAAACCATATCACTACCGGAAGGCCACTGAGTGGCTGAGGAAAGGGAAGGTAAGAGGAAAGGAATTCAGCAATTTAAATATTCTGTGAGAGTTATATTACTAAACATGCCTTCCTGACTTCCAACTTACATTTTGTCCCAGCTTATATTTTTTCATAGTTTAGTTGAGAACATGAAACACAGTTAGAAACAGAGGGAAGGGGAAGAAATTACTACATACTGGTCACTTACTATGTGTCTGCATGGAGTTGGGGCTTTACAAAGTGTGGTAGACAGAATAATACCCTCCCCTAAAAGATGTGCACATCCTAATCCCCAAGACCTGTGAAGATGTTACCTTACATGGCAAAAAAAGACTTTGCAGGTGTGATTGAATA